CCCTAAGATGGTATATTCTAAATGGTTAGAGTCAGTTCTGACAATAGCGTTGCTATTATTCTGGTGGGGTAAGAGGATTAAGAAATCAGTGAGAAGCTTGCCTTCCCTCCAGCAGCCCTCTGTAGACTATACACAACCATCATTCACAATGTTTTTTAATAAGAATATAGCTCGAGCTTTTTCTAAAGGACTTACACAATGCACTCTTTGTAGCCGTCTGGGAAATGGAGCCACCAAGACCAAATATTAATAGACGTTAACTGACCCATGTCTGTCTTCTGTTAACCTTTTGCTGCCAGGACACAGTGCTGTGGGTCAGGAGAAGGTCAACAAAACACCGTCCAGACCTCAGAGTCGGACTAGGTTTTGAGAAATTCCGCCTTCTTGGTGCTGTGTTCAGACCCCAAAGCAACTACTTAGTTTTAATTCCATTAAATTAATTCAGTTAAGTCTGAATTTTTTTTCTCTTGTCTTACTTTGCATTCTGTGATATTGAAAGTATAGAAATTCAACTTTACCTTTACCTTTATTTTACCTTGTTTTATTTTACTGCCTAAAGTCTATGCAACCGCACTTAACACTTACACACCCAACTGGGCTTATAACCTCCTTGAAAGTCCAGCTTATCAAGATAGACCCGAGGTCTTCCTACAGGAAGATCTTGTTCAGGTGAAGGCTGTCAACTCAGATGTGTGATCATTTGGCCACATTGGATTGAGATGTGCCTTGAAAAAAGGATTTGCTAAGCAAGCTATTAGTGTAGATTAAGTTGAAGAGAATATGAACAATGTAGAGGGGGATTATATAGAAACAGACCTTTGCTACAAAGAATGTAGAGCTGTCATTGCTGTTTATTAAAGCAGCAACCAGAACCTCTTCTTGGAGGGCGTATATAGGCAGAAGTTTATTAACTACTTAGGGAGATGGTGGGAATTAAATATAAAGGCAATGTAGTTATTTAAAAAATTATCTATAATTCCAATTTATTTTTTGCTTGTTTGTTTATCCAGCCTGGCCTTTTTCTCTATTAGTGAAATAAGTTACATTTGTGCAGTGTTATCTTTTCTCATCTATGGAAGGTTCAGCAATTTCAGGGTATAATTGTTTTAAATTGGGAAAATTCAATTTTCTCTAATGTTTTAACATTTAACTCAGCTTTGGAATGCTTGTGTTTTCTTGCATTACCCAAAACATTTGGAAAATGAACTCATCTCCTCTCCTTCCCATCTTCAGCCCACCCGCCACCCCCAACCCAGATCCTCGCCTCCCTTGAGTTAATGCTAGCACCATCCTTCTAGTCATTAAGAACCTAAGTCATCTGGGTGACGTCTCATTTCAACTTTTGCTGCTTCCCATGCCTGTTTCCCCTCTGTCCATTTGCCATTTCCTCCACACCTTCCTACACCATCTTTCTCCAGGCTGCCCTTTGCTTTCTGATCCCCCAGAAACAACCTTGTTCAAGATTCAATCTTACCTCGCATCTGGGTCATCACCGGAGCTTCCAAATTGCTTTTTTTCCAGCTCAAAGTTTTCTCCATTCTAAATCATCTTGTATTTTTCCTAGGTGTACCTTCTTGACATACAAATGAGCATTTCATCCTCCTGATCAGACACTGCCTGTGAGCCTTCTCCAGCCTGTCCATGAAGTCTAAATAACCCGGCCTGGTCTTCCTGTGCCTCATGCCATACTGCTCTCTTCCTAACCCTCTCTTCATATGTTCTTGCCTCTTTGTTTTTATTCAAGCAGTTTCCTACACTTGGGTCATTCTTTCTCCAACTTAAGTTCCACCTGCTGAAAAATCTCATGGCCCAGTCCAGAGTTGCTTCCTCTTGAAGGTTCCAATCAGGGAGCACTCGTCCTCCTCCATCCATAGCCCTCGGCACTTCCACTACATGGGATATTGTTGTTAGTGTTATCATTATAGCTTCTGTGTTGTCATATACCTACTTCATTGTGAAACCCTTTGGTCTTTCACTCTGTATCTCCCAAAACACTTGGAATAGGGCCTTGTACTTAGTGGAATGAGTGCATGTCATCATTTAAACCCACAAAGCTAAGTGATCAGATAAGCTCATAGAAATATTTTGTCTTTTCAGCAAAACCCAAAATCACTTATGTAGAAAACCAGACAGCCATGGAACTGGAGGAGCAGGTCACTCTTACCTGTGAAGCCTCAGGAGACCCCATTCCCTCTATCACCTGGAGAACTTCCACCAGAAACATCAGCAGCGAAGAAAAGGTATAATGTCGCCCAAGAGTTTCAGGGCCATGGAACGCAGACTCGAAGCAGACTGAATCTGCCCCATGCCCAGTTCTCTTCGGTGAGCCGGAAGATGGGATGTGGTCACCAGAGGCTACAGCCAGGTCTTGTGGCCTCTCTCCCCCAGCCTGCCTGGATGTGGCCTGCTCTACATCCCTTTGCAATGGAATGGGCACAATTCCTTGTACTGATTGGCAGGGGTATGATGTCAGTGGGCAAGGTCAAGTTAGAGGTTCTGGGGAGGAGACAGCAGTGATCTTCAAACCCTGGGCTAAGGAGCTGTGAGGACCAAGAAGCCAAGACCCTGGTGCACTGGGTGATATTATTGTCATCTCAAGAGCACCCAAGGAAATGTCTCCCAGAAATAATAGGGATCAAAATGAGCCCATTGGTTCTTTTCCTTGCATTATGTATACTCATGCTATATATGCACTATATGCGCAAAAGCTTGGTTGCCTTTGTGTCTGCCTGTATTCTTGGTCACGTTTGGATATTGTTCTGTTCTAAAGGCAAAAATAATTAGCAGTTTCTAAATGATGGTGATTACACCTGGGTTCTATAATATACTCACTGAGGATGGCCTGAGAACATGGTACCAACCTTCCTGGCAAGTTGAAGATTTAGCTTTTTAAGCACATGAATTTGTAGGCCACTGGAAAACTACCTTCATTATTGACAATATATAAAAATGGAGGTGACCCCACTTCTACAATCCTTTGCTGTTGAGTGGGTCAAAAGCAAGAGGGAAAAGCTCGGGTTTAAAGCAACTTAAAACCTCTGATGGCACTTTTCCAATCTTATCTCATATATCCTGTAGTAATGGGCCTCGTTTTGGTTGGCCAAAGCTTTGTCACCTATTCAGAAGTAATGGCCTTAACCTTAAAGAGCATTTATAATGGATTGCTTATTGACCGGAATGTCAAAAATGATTGATATACACTCTTCTGCCTGCCTAAAGGAAATCCCTAGAGAGAGTAAATCCAAATAAAGTCAAAAAAGGAAAATGTGAAATATCAGAGCTAAATTTGGGATTTGCATTTGAGGAACTGGTTTCTGGCCCACTAATAGAAAATGAAAGTAAATCAAAAGGAACAGAAATCACTCTTCCAAATAACCCATTATAATTTGCAAGTTTTACCTCCAGAATTGAATTCAACATAACAAAAATTCAACTGAGGAACTGCTAAATATTTTTGAAACTTGCATATTGCTATTTGATACTGTGAAAACCAATTAGATTACAAAATGTGGTGTTTACTTGGATTCTTTCTTTATCAACTTTGGAATTAAACCCTCAGCTAAGATTTCAGCTCCCATCATGTGTGCTATGTGGACTGAATGTACATTTCAGGGCTTAAACACGGGGCTGCTGCTTGGCAAATCTTTCTACATCAGCCTGAAAAGTAAATTTGTCCAGAGCAACCCAGTGACCTACAGTGAAGGACAGAAATATCTGTCTCAGATAGATGACACTTTTAAATTCTGTATCTTTTCTAGGAATAACTCAACAGCCAAGGTTATTAAGATTTGTGCCTTTTTAAATTCTGTATCTTTTCTAGGAATAACCCAAAAGTCAAGGTTATTAAGATTTGTGCTTACCTCAGGTTCTTTAATAAGCTGACTTTACTGGCTTGTATCTCTAATTTCATCTTTAGAGAATGAGGATAAATAGCCAGGTACTGGTACATGCTCATACCAACTAAATGTTGAGACTGAAGATGTCCAGCAGAGACCATCTCAAGACTAGTTAGGAATCCACACCTTGCTTAATTCAGTTACCAGTATAGATCATCTGTCTTAATCTGAAGTGATTATTTAAGATTAGGCATGTGGGTAGGATTGTGGTTCTTTTACTATGGACTATCTTCAACTTTACTTGAAGTGACATTATCGGAACATAAATGAACCATGTTAGAACAAGTCTTCCAAATCAATCCATTCTATGACACCAAAATAGCATATTTGCCTAAATGAAATGCTTTCTAAAAGAACTTGCCATTTCCATGAATAAAATATCAATCTCAAAGAGGTATAATGGCCAGCTTCTACTGTAGATAGCTATTAATTAGGAAAACAAGCATGGGCTACTCATGAACAGGTTGGATTCCAGAAAATAATTTTTACTTTTACTTTGGCACCCCCTCCTCATGTTCTCCTCTATCTGAAGTCGCATGATACACAATTAGATATGAAGATTACTAGCATTACTGAAGCATAGGAATAGAAGAAAACAATTTTCTTTTGAAAATTAGGGTGATGAGCTGAGAAGGTAAGGAAAGACAATTGCATCTAATTGGCAAAGTGGATAAGCCTCCTGAAATTTAGACCACAGAAATATCCAAATCATAGAAGGTTAGACAGTGTCTTCTGAGGTTATCTAGGCTGGCAGGCTTTTCTAGCATTCTTGCCAGAAAGTTGCTTGGCTCTTATCTGAAGGATGATGCTCTCATTCTTATGATATCATTCCATGATAACACAGGGCAATGGCCAATGCCAGTGATCAGAAGGGCTGATTCCTTACCACTTTCTCTAACTCAGTCTGCCCTACCTATGCCACTCAGTCCTTTGTCTGAGTCATTAAAATAACTCATTTGTCTTTAATCAGTCTACTTTTCTTCCCTTTATGACACCTGGCTATTTTCTCCATTTCTTGTATATCATAATTTCTCTATCCTTTATGTTTTCAGCAGCCCTCTACTGAATGCCTTTAGCTCACTACTGTCCCCCTAAAATGTTGCCATGCCCAGTGTAACTCATGCTGACTGCTCTAGGGCTGTTGACTCCTTGATCTGGATACCATCATGCAGTTAAAATTGCATTAGCTCTCTAGCAATTTCTTCATTCTACTGCCTCATTTTGAACTTGTGGTCGACCAAAATGCTCTGGTCGTTTTTTACATGAACTGCATTTAAGCCACATATCCCCTATCCCATTCTTAGGCAATTGATTGTGTAACTCATAATGCATAATTTATATTTATTTCTGTTAAAAACTATATTTTTTTGCAGCTCAGTGTTTCTTACTAGGATCACTATGGCAATTTAGGGGGAATCTTCTTTTACTAGGACTAGCCTATGCATTGCAAGATATTTAGCCTCACTGGTCCCCTTCCTCTTAAATGCCAGGAGCCACCCCTGATGATTACTAAGGATGCCACATACACAGACACCTCCTGCTTGAGGATAATTGTTTTGAGCCCATCTTTCCAACCAGGCAGGACTGACTTTCATCAGAACTGTTCTTAGAAGTCTATGGGACTGGCAGGTGGCATGGTGGTTGAAGTTGGCGCAGTGGTTGGGGATGCTGGACTCCCACATAGCCGACCACAGTTCAAATTCCGGACCTGGCAGTTTGCTTTCTCACTTTATCTCTCTCCCTCTCTCCCTCTCCCTCTCTGGTCTAATTAAAATACATACATGCATACATACATAAGCTAAATAATATCATTCTTTAAAAAAAGAAAGTTTGTGGGTCCAGAACATTTCAACCCAGTGGGTCCCCACCCATTTTATATGTGTACCTTAAAAGTAGTGAGGTGGAGCAGTCAGTGGTAGCCCCAGCCCTAAGCATAGAGCCCAAGGGCAAGTAATTCAGTAGCTTTCCAAATGCAACTGTCATCTAACATTTGTGTTAGCTGTTGTTTCCAATCTTGTGTGGACACTTATTTGAAACATCTTTGTCCAAGTCAAATGTTGATTTGGGTAAGGCCAAGGACAGTCTTAGACTACCACGTGGCTTTCCTCTTACTGATTGGTTTGGAAGGTAGAGCACCTGCTGCCTGATACCATGGTGTTTTTTGATGGTCTTGATGACTTTCATGGAAGGTTCAATGATTCTCTATGTAATGTTAGTTATAATATAAGCCAATCAAATCAGCTTTGTCTTTTGCTTCACTGCTTAGTTGAGTCTTGTATTACCCTTCTTAAAGGAAGATGGGGTGAGAGAATATTCAACAATGGATGTATAGTAACTTTCTAATGGAATACCAGTGTTCTTCTTCATTAAAAAAGAAGAGAAGGTGGCAAACACCAGCAGAATGAGCGTGAATGTCATACTCTATCTTTGACGTGTCTCTAGACTGAGCGTATTCACTCATTTGAGAAAGATCATTTTTGATTTATTAAGCTTCAGCTAGTTGAGGTTAAGACTCGTTGTTTGAATCATTGAGCTCATTAAGGGAAGTTCATTGTCTCGAAGCTGATCCACTACTTGAAGCCCACGATTATGTTGAACAGACCAAAGAAGATATTGACCATGTTGACCAGTCAGTTTGATTTTGTGTATGAAAGTCACTGTGATACTTCACAAAGTTTATACATCTATATTGTTTCATTGCCCATCCTTCCCAGATTGATATTAAGTATTGTCAGGTGTTTGAGTGAGTGGTGCACAACTCCAGGCACTGATGACTTCTTAGTGAGACACATGGCCAATGACTGGCATACCCTATTCTTGGCGAGAACAAACCCATCATATGTTTATTTGAACGTCTCTGTCCTTGTGGAATGACTAACAAAGAGAAATACATGAAGCCTTAATGATTAAGGAAAAAGGGAAGAGTAAAGAGTTGAGATCAGAAGAGACAGGTAGGAAAACTGAGAAGTATTTTTATCACTTGCTCTAATAGAGCATCCCAAGATAAGAATTTCTGAAATTCTAGAATCTTTGAAAGCTGTAGTTTTCTTTTCATCAGAAAGAATTCCTCATTCATTACAAACCCAGAGCTCACTTTTAAACACTGGAAAAAGTAACTGCACTGAGCAGTCAGAGCCTGGTCTATCCAAGGTGCCAGTAAATGTTTAATAGGGAATACCTAGGATGATTACCGGGATGCTTTACTTTAGCATGTATTCTGGAATACTTGTGTGTAAGACAATAAACATATGAATATTAAAAGAACCTAGACGTAACAGTTTTGGGAGCATTACTGATCATACTCTAATTCCTAAGTGTGCATAGTTGTATATCTGATTGCCTTA